GAAAGAGGCAGGTTCTGCTGGAGGGCTGAGGGGGAATGGGAGAGGGGAGATGGCACATAGCGGCCACCTCCCATACCTTGCCCTCCAACAAATAAATGCTCGTTCACAATGCACCTTTTAAAATTAAATCCAATCTGTGTCAAGAAATAAAACAAGCAGGTATAAAAAGGGTCAGGAGGCAACTTAACACAACTCTCCTCCACCTAGATAAGAGCTTCAGTCCCCTCTGTGACTCTGGGACAGACTGGCTCTAGCCCTGAAGCCACATGGTCCAAGACATCCACGTCCACCCCTTCCACCAAGCTCCAACCCTCCAAGCTGGAGCCGACGGGCAGAGCTTTGTAATAGCCCCACAGGCAGCAGAAAGCACCTTTGCTGGTGACCTCCGAGACCAGGGGACCCTGCTTTAACCTCTACTGTGGAGAAGGAAGGGGATAACCCTGTCCCCCTACCCCCACTCAACCCACGCCTCCCACTCCTCACTTTCAAACCTACCAGCCCTTTCCTCCAACTCCTACTGATTCGGCATGATTCAGCCTTATTTCCTCACATTTGAGGAAAGGGAGACTGAACCCATTTCACAGACTGGGAAATGGAAGCAGAAGCTTCCAGCCCTCTGAAACCACAGTCCCCAGCAGCCCAGGCTCCCGCAGCTGATCCAGACATCCCGAGGGGCCCCTCGAAGGCCAGCTGGGCTGAGTGCATTCCCCGGGGAAGACTCTCCTAGGCGGAGCACTGCAGGCTGGGCACGTATGGGGAACTTCCCGACATGCACGGGAAGAGGCAGCTCCAAAAAGCTATGAGAAAAACTGCGGGCGGAAGTAAGCCAAGTGCCACCCCAAGTACTGAGATTCTCGGATGAAAGGGGAACTGAAAGAGGTCACCCAGGCCTGACCCCCTGGTACACGCCTTCTACACCCTCTCCAACTCTCCAGCCTCTTCGCACACCTTCAATGATGGGGACCTTGCCTCCTCCCCAGGCAGCTTATTCCCTTTAGCTTCCCTGTCACTCTTGGTGCTGTCTCTGCCCTCAGGAGCGGCACAGGACAAGAGTATGCCCTCTGCCTGTAGAGAGCCCTGCAGGGATTTGAAAGCAGTGACACTCCTCAAGGGTCCTTCCCCAAACCTTAGACCACCTGTGATGACCCCAATCACCAAGAAGCTACCAAGCCCTGCAGCCTCCCCCTCCTTCCCTCTCAGTCCCACAGCCAGAGTCAGACTTCGGTCAGCTCTCTGCTGGACCACGACCAGCATCATCTCTGAGCTAGTCTCAACCCTGCCAATCTTGCCACCATTTTTGGCCAAATGACCCCTGAGAGGAGCAGCACAACAGGGCAGAAACAGTTCAGGCCTGGGTTCAAACACAGCTCTGTAAGTGACTCGACCCCTCTGAGCTTTCATTTCCCGGTCTGAAAAGGGGGTGGGGGTGTGGGTTACCAGCAGCAGTAGCTACTTTGCAGGGATATTGTGAGGTTTCAATGAGGCGTCTGTAAGGAGCCTGGCACAAGGCACAGTAACAGGCATAGACTCAATGAGCTGCTTACAACCCTCTGTCCTCTCCACCGGCTACAGAGTAAAATCCAAACTCCTGAGCAGGATCCTGTGGGCTCCCCAGGACCCGATCTTGTCTCGCACTGCCCCCCTTCCTGCAGCCTGCATCCTCACAAACACTTCCTCCCCCAGGAAGCCCTGCCGACAATAACAACCAGAAGAGCTTTTCCCCTCCACTGGCCTTCCAAAGCCCATCTATCACTGATCACGTCCTGCCTCTTCCCCATCACTCGATCCGCGTCTCCCTCCCCCATCAGATCAGCAGCCTCTCCAGTCAGAAACCAGCAGCACCTCACCCCACTTCGTTTCCCCATCACCCCCCGTCCACAGACATTTTCCATACATATTTAACAAATTACCCTAACGTTCCATTTCAAGTAAAGAATGTCCAAGTCCTCCAAACAGTCCAGATATTTCCAGCCATACCCAAAACCAAATGCCAAGCCAGCAGAAGTCTGCCCTGTCTCTAGGGACTTGCAGGCCTGGCTTTGGCCTCAAAGTACGAAAGACAGGTCAAGCAGGTCCAAAGCCCAGGATAGAGAGAGTTCCAGGCTGCTGAGACCAGAGCCCATTTCTAAGTTTCTCAGTTGGCCCCTCAGCCAACCACTACCTTACGATTTCATACTCTCAACCACATCCTCAACCTGTGATTATAAAACTGTTCCTTCCATACCCCTTGTGATAAGAGGCTCATTATCCATCTTTTCCTCCTTGCTGGCTCCCGCCTTCACCTGTTGATTCTCCCAGAGTCCTCGCCTCCTAGCCTGATCACAATGACAAGGAGAGTCTGACCACATGCCAAGGGTCATCCTATCCCTCAGGACGCCTTTCAGACTTCCAGCCCCTCCACTCAGTCCCCCACTTTTCTGAGTCCCCTCAAAGTTCAGTTAAGTAGTGGAATTTTTCACTCTTGTTCCTACAAGCTGACAGTGAACTGTCAGCCCAGGAGGGCTCCCTGTTCCCACAGCCCAGGAAAAGCCCATGACCCTGGAAACCCCAGACACAGCGCTGGAACAGCCCTTGGAGCAGTCAGCACAGTAACGCATAAACTTTCCTCTCCCAAGAACTTCTTTCATCATCTACTCCCACTCCATTGTTTTAAGATGTCATTTATTAACCAGCAATTTGTTTTCCATTTTTCAAGATATTACTCAAGGTCCCCAATCACAGCCTGATCAGTAATCATGAGATAGTATCCCCACCAAAAGATTAGGCCAGCACAGGGCACTATCTGGGCCACCCCTCACATTCACTCATGGGGTATTTACTGAGGGCTACAGAATATGACTCAGAAACCCACAGACACATGTATTTTCCATTAGGATTCTGCAATCCTGACACTGGCTCAAAGTCTACCCTCCATTACTATCCTCAAGGACTTTAGGGTTGGGGCACCTAGAGCAGCCCATTAGTTTAGCAAGGAGAACTCGGCCAACGAGTCCCACAAGAGGACACCTGGGATATAAATCCCATGGCCTTAGGCCTCTCATTGCCCCAAGTGCTCCACTTCTCAGCCCTACCTCTGCCCACTGCTGATCTGAAAGTGACCTGTGTGAATGCAGATGAAAGGTTCTGCTGTCCCCTGGGTGCTGGGGAGAGGCCTGCTGACAAAGCCACCAGCTGTCCCCAGCCAGAGCCAGGGAGACGGGCTCCTCCCTGCACTACCCGCACTGGGAGAGCGTTCCTGCCAAGGACCCAGCCAGCAACAGAACTTGGACCATCACGGAGCTCCAGGCCCAGGCTCCAACTGACTGCCCCTCTGGTCCAGCTGCCCACAATAACAAGAGCCAGGGCACCAGACCTCACCCCGCACCAGCACCAGACAGACGGAGCATCGCTGGGGGTAAGGGTAATGGGAAGAGGTATCCTCATAATTCCAACTGAAAATGACACCGTGAGCTCAGTCACACCTGGACCTTATAGAGCCCTGGAGTTGGGACTCAGCTCCATCACTTCCCTCCTGTGTGACCTTTAACCATTCTGTGCCTCAGTTTCTCCCTCTGTAAAATGTGGTTAATAGTAGTGTGGGAGAATTAAATGAGATAATGTATGTAAAGCAATTAGCCCAGTGCCTGACACATCATAAACATGCAATAAATACTTGTTGAATATAAACATGCCACCGTTTACTGAGGTACCACAGGTTCTCATTTCATCCCTATTCCGGCAGACACTGTATTCTGCCCATTTTACGGGTGAGGAAACTGAGGCTACGGGAAGAGAAGGAACCAGACCAAGGTCACAGAATGGGAAGTGACAGACACTCAGGTCAGTGTGAACTTCAGACCAGGGGGCAATACTGCCCCAGGCCACTCCGAATGCTTTGGGGGAAGGGTATAGCACTGGGCGTGGGGTTCTGCATCCCCCGGGCCTGCCATGGCTCCTGGCTGACCTGGCGCTCGAATCTGGGAAAGAGCCAAGAGGCCAGTCACCAGATTCCCGGCCTGTCCCAGAGCCACGCGTTCACGGCGCCCCCTCCTCAACCGTCCCAGAGAGTTAAAGGGCCGCGTTCGAAGCCGGGCTCGTCACCCCGAGAACCGGAGGGAGGAGGGGAGTTAGAGACCAGGCCGCTCACGGGCCCGGGGAAAACCGGTCCGGCTACCTTACCCTTCCCGAAGCGGGGACCCGGCCTCTAACCCCCTCCCTCGCCAGACAAAAGTTTCCCCTGTTCGGGAGCAGGGGAGGGGGAGGGGGCATTCCTCGTGAGTGACATTATCCGTGACCTACAGCTGCCGCGCTGCGCTCGCCCGCACCCCGGCCTGCCCCCGGGCCCCGCGCGGCCCCCACCTCTTTGTCCTGCC